ATACTGTATACAGGGTTATATATATACTGTATACAGGGTTATATAGATACTGTATACACGGTTATAAAGATACTGTATACACGGTTATATAGATACTGTATACAGGGTTATATATATACTGTATACAGGGTTATATAGATACTGTAAACACGGTTATATTGATGCTGTTAACAAAGTAAATTTCGTGGTAGTACCATTTTTGCATTTTTCTACGTAACGAAAATCCGCGAAATAAGTATGGTAGCGAACACCTTTGATCGGTTAGATTCAAAACAACACGGCCGTGAACCCATCACCGCGACAATATCTCTGAACCTCTGTAATGTATACGACAATGTCTCTGAACCTCTGTAATGTACACGACAATATCTCTGAACCTCTATAATGTACACAACAATGTCTCTGAACCTCTATAATGTACACGACAATGTATCTGAACCTCTGTAATGTACACAACAATGTCTCTGAACCTCTGTAATGTACACGACAATGTCTCTGAACCTCTGTAATGTAAACGTCATTAGTTGCTGTTCGGTTTATACAGGTTTTGTACTCTAAACCTCTGTAATGCAAATTCCATTAGTTGCTGTTCGGTTTATACAGGTTTTGTATTCAGTAACACTGACATCACACAATCAGAGATCCACTGCAACAGAGAATGCCTTAAACAATTATAAATACGGAAGGCTCCGCAATGATTTTTGTACGAGTTAGAGGCATTCATCTACATACGTTATTGAACCGCAGGGACTTTTGAAAGGTTTCCGCAGCGCATTATTCATACATGACGACAGCAAATAGTACGGAGAGGTCACGAACGGCGCCAAGATACAGAGATTTCCGGAGTCCCTCTGGCGTCATTAGTAACTCTTGGGTATCACTTAGTGTATTTTTCTTGGTTTTGTTCTCGACATGAATGATATTTAATGTGGTTAGAATAAGATATGGTTAATACAGAGCACGATTTGTATGTAAAATGGAGTCTTTAATTAGGTAACTAATTACTATCCAATCATTAGAACGATTTTAATTCGATTTCGTTTTGCTATCGTAATGGGTTTTTCAGGACAAACATAATGATTTTTTTATCTGAATGAAGAAGAAGGGAATTTGATTTCCATTCGATAAGAGAGATTAAATTTCAAGCAACACACAACACCCAAACAGCTTTTGTTATCTCTCAGTCGATAAATTCGTCAATATGAAAACTCCCTCAGCTCCTCTGGACAAGCAGTAATTGATCGTAAGTGGACACGTCACATGTGGCGCCCTCTTTGTATCACTTCGAACGTACCCTAAAAGCACACAAAATAAGCATTAATTTTGGTACATGCAGTACAGTTACGGTATGCATCATATTAACAATGGAAATGGCCGTGACTAAGATTTCAAAGTCTGAGATAATTACGATCACGGAAGTAAAATTAAGGCAATTTATTCAAACAAGCAAAACATAAAATCGTTTCAACAAACAGGAGCAAAATCGGCACACTTTAATGCCAACCAGCAATGGGAACCGGGGTAACATCAGAGCAACCGGAACAACTAGGAGGCATCAGAGCGAAACGCACAACAACAGGAACAGAGGCGACATCGGAACAAAACGGACAACAACAGAAACATAGGTACTTCAGAGAAAAACGAACAACAACAGGAACAGAGGTACGTCAGAGAAAAACGGACAACAACAGGAACAGAGGTACGTCAGAGAAATACGGACAACAGGAACAGAGGAGACAACAGGGCAAAACAGACAACAGGGACAGAGGTACGGCAGAGAAAACCGGTCAACAACAGGAACAGAGGAGAGATCAGGGCAAAACAGACAACCGGAACAGAGGTACGGCAGAGAAAACCGGTCAACAACAGGAACAGAGGAGACCTCAGGGCAAAACAGACAACCGGAACAGAGGTACGGCAGAGGAAAACGGACAACAACAGGAACCGAGGAGACATCAGGGCAAACCCGACAACAGGAACAGAGGTGCGGCAGAGAAAAACGGACACCAGGAACAGAGGTACGTCAGAGAAAAACGGACACCAGGAACAGAGGTACGTCAGGGAAAAACGGACAACAACAGCAACAGAGGTACGTCAGAGAAAACCGGACAACAACAGGAACAGAGTCGACATCGGAACAAAACGGACAACAACAGAAACATAGGTCCTTCAGAGAAAAACGAACAACAGGAACAGAGGAGACAACAGGGCAAAACAGACAACAGAAACAGAGGTACGGCAGAGAAAACCGGTCAACAACAGGAACAGAGGAGCCATCAGGGCAAAACAGACAACCGGAACAGAGGTACGGCAGAGACAAACGGACAACAACAGGAACCGAGGAGACATCAGGGCAAAACAGTCAACAGGAAGAGAGGTACGGCAGAGAAAAACAGACGACAGGAACAGATCTAGAGGCACGTCAGAGAAAAACAGACGACAGGAATAGATCTAGAGGTACGTCAGAGAAACACGGACAACAACAGGAACAGAGTCGACATCGGAACAAAACGGACAACAACAGAAACATAGGTCCTTCAGAGAAAAACGAACAACAGGAACAGAGGTACGGCAGTGAAAAACGGACAACAGGAACAGAGGAGACAAAAGGGCAAAACAGACAACAGGAACAGAGGTACGTCAGAGAAAAACAGACGACAGGAACAGATCTAGAGGTACGTCAGAGAAAAACGGACAACAACAGGAACAGAGGAGACATCAGGGCAACGTATTTTTACATTTTCAATGAAACTGCATTACATTTTATGTATGTCTGTATTCTGCTTGAAAGTATGGTAAGTCAATATCACATTTTTAAAACAGCTCCAATAAAGATGCTTGTCATTTGTCAAATTTTATCAACGTGAATTTAAGTTCGGGTTTCAGTAAGTCCAAAAGGTAAAGTATCTGCGACGTATTTTCAGACGCGTTCCTCATTCTAAGTGTCCTTCGTGTATGTACATACTCTGTATCGGATTTTCATTATGTATGCTTGCTTTACTTGCCTTGAAACAGATCATTAAAATTAATACGCTCTGTGAAGAAGCACTTTCAATAATTTGACAGAGGACGGCTTAACATGCCATACAGGGGGTGTACACGTGGTTTGTACTGTCCAAGCTCAACATGCAATCCCCTCTTTACTGTAACGTGTATTGATACGGACGTAATTAATATTCAATAATTGATGGGATTCACAAAACATATTCCCGATGTTCTTCATCATAGTTTGACTTTTTTTTAACAAAACAAATACGTTCTCCATTAATGTAAAAGATTGATGCACGGATATCGAATTCACGAGTGAAATATGATATCGCAGGCATTTTATAGCCCAGCTGTCATAGCGCGCGCCAGTTAGTACGCAGGGTTTATTTAGTGCAGGTCAGCTATGGAAAGCTATTATTGATGTATTGATTATAAAAAATAGAACGAAACCGTTTTATAACATTTAAGGTCTTTTATAGTTAAAACAACACACATTAACTTTGCCATTTTTTCTGCTATTGTTATTGGCGTCAATGTCGACGTTTTACTTATTATAGCGTACTAGGAGGTTAGTGAGTGCAGTTAGTGCTCATGATGAGATAGCAGACCAGGTCCTGCTAAACAATCTACAACAAGTAGGGTACAGGCACGCCAACGCTGTGTCCGTTAAAACAAACTCCACAGCAACAATGATATGTAAATGAAAAATTCCTAAAAGACAGAGAAAATCATTGTTAATTCAACATATTTGACTCTGTATTAGTCACGTCACTAGCTGTAGTTTCTGTGTAAGACTTTTTATTTTCTGTGTACAATAGGAACCTTTTTAGTCCGGATACTTTAATTTGTTTCCGTGTATTATGGGAACTTCGTTAGTTCGGGCACTTTAGTTCCCATGTACAAATGAAACCTCAATAGTCCAAACCTTTGGTTTCCGTGTACAACGGGAACCTCGTTAAACCAGACATTTTGGTTTCTCTGTACAACGGGAACCTCGTTAGTTCTGACATTTTTGTTGGTTTCTCCGTACAACGGGAACCTCTTTAGTTCTGACATTTTTGTTGGTTTCTCTGTACAACGGGAACCTCATTAGTCCGGATACATTGCTTTCTATGTACAACGGGAACCTTGTTAGTCCGGACACTTTGCTTTCTATGTACAACGGGAATCTCGTAGGTCCAAACTGTTTTGTTTCTATTTACAACGGGAAGTTCGTTAGTCCGGACACTTTGGTTTCCGTTATGCAGATCCTTGTTTTCTTGGACACTTGGTGAATGTAGAAGTGTAATGAGCAGCATCACCTTTAATATTTAATCTTTGAATTATTTCAGAAATTAATATCTAATAGAGTATTAACACAAACGCAATAAAAACTGTATAGCTGCAAAAAGTCTTCTTGATACAAGGGGAATAACTTTTTTTACTAAGTTATCAAGGTAGATCTATCAGCGTTAACGTTTTTCTCTATAAACATTGTTTCCAGCTGATGTACATTCTTTCTATCCGACATTGACGCAATATTTTGAAATCCATAGTTAAATGTTTCAGGTAGATTGATTTTTCTTTAAATATTAACTTTTTGTTTTTGTTTTTACTTAAATGTGCGAAAATATCATATTACAAAATCCATATATAAGGAGGTTTTATCACAACAGCAAACAATCCCTTTCCCTCTTCTCTGTCATTAAACATCTCTGTCCCTCTCATCTGTTTCTAAACATCCCTTTCCCTCTTCCCTGTCTCTAAACGTCTCTTCCCCTATATTCTGTCTCTAAACATCACTTTCCCTCTTTCCCTCTCTTCTGTCTCTCAACATCATTTTCCCTCTCTTCTGTCTCTAAACATCCCTTTTCCTCTCCTCTGTCTCTAAACATATTTTTCCCTTTTCTCTGTCTCTAAACATCTCTTCCCCTATCTTCTGTCTCTAAACATTCCTTTCCCTCTCACCTGCCTCTAAACATCACTTTCCCTATCCTCTGTCTCTAAACATCTCTTCCCCTATCTTCTGTCTCTAAACATCACTTTCCCTCAATTCTGTCTCTAAACATCATTTTCCCTCTCTTCTGTCTCTAAACATCCCTTCCCCTCTCTTCTGTCTCTAAACATCATTGTCCCTCTCCTCTGTCTCTAAACATCATTGTCCCTCTCCTCTGTCTCTAAACATATCTTTCTCTCTTCTCTGTCATTAAACATCTATGTCCCTATCTTCTGTCTCTAAACATCTCTTCCCCTATCTTCTGTCTCTAAGCATCACTTTCCCCTCTTCTGTGTCTAAACATCACTTTCCCTTTCCGCTGTCTCTAAATATCACTTTCCCTCTCTTCTTTCTCTAAACATCCCTTTCCCTTTCCTCTGTATCTCAACATTCCTTTCCCTCTCCTCTGTCTCTAAACATCTATGTCCCTCCCCTCTGTCTCTAAACATCTATGACCCTCTCTTCTGTCTCTAAACATCAATTTCCCTCTCCTCTGTCTCTTAACATCTTTGTCCCTCTCTTCTGTCTCTAAACATATCTTTCCCTCTCCTCTGTCTCTAAACATCTCTTCCCCTCTCTTCTGTCTCTAAACATCTCTGTCCCTCTCCTCTGTCTCTAAACATCTATGTCCCTCCCCTCTGTCTCTAAACATCTATGACCCTCTCTTCTGTCTCTAAACATCAATTTCCCTCTCCTCTGTCGCTTAACATCTTTGTCCCTCTCTTCTGTCTCTAAACATCTCTTCCCCTCTCTTCTGTCTCTAAACATCAATTTCCCTCTCCTATGTCTCTTAACATCTTTGTCCCTCTCTTCGGTCTCTAAACATATCTTTCCCTCTCCTCTGTCTCTAAACATCTCTTCCCCTCTCTTCTGTCTCTAAACATCTCTTCCCCTCTCTTCTGTCTCTAAACATCTCTTCCCCTCTCTTCTGTCTCTAAACATCTCTGTCCCTCTCCTCTGTCTCTAAACATCTCTTCCCCTCTCTTCTGTCTCTAAACATCAATTTCCCTCTCCTCTGTCTCTTAACATCTTTGTCACTCTCTTCTGTCTCTAAACATATCTTTCCCTCTCCTCTGTCTCTAAACATCTATGTCCCTCCCCTCTGTCTCTAAACATCTATGACCCTCTCTTCTGTCTCTAAACATCAATTTCCCTCTCCTATGTCTCTTAACATCTTTGTCCCTCTCTTCGGTCTCTAAACATATCTTTCCCTCTCCTCTGTCTCTAAACATTCCTTACCTTTTCCTCTGTCTCTAAACATCCCTCCACCTCTCTTCTGTTTCTAAACATCTCGTAGCCACTCCTCTGTTTCTAAACATCCCTTTCCCTCTCATGTGTTTCTAAACATCCCTTTCCCTCTCATGTGTTTCTAAACATCCCTTTCCCTCTCCTCTGTATCTCAACATTCCTATCCCTCTCCTCTGTCTCTAAGCATCACTTTCCCCTCTTCTGTCTCTAAACATCACTCTCCCTCTCTAATGTCTCTAAACATCCCTTTCCCTTTCCTCTGTCTCTAACCATCTATGTCCCTCCCCTCTGTCTCTAAACATCTATGACCCTCTCTTCTGTCTCTAAACATCAATTTCCCTCTCCTATGTCTCTTAACATCTTTGTCCCTCTCTTCTGTCTCTAAACATCTCTGTCCCTCTCCTCTGTCTCTAAACATCTCTTCCCCTCTCTTCTGTCTCTAAACATCTATGTCCCTCTCCTCTGTCTCTAAACATCTATGTCCCTCCCCTCTCACTCTAAACATCTATTCCCCTCTCTTCTGTCTCTAAACATCTATGTCCCTCTCCTCTGTCTCTAAACATCTATGTCCCTCCCCTCTCACTCTAAACATCTATTCCCCTCTCTTCTGTCTCTAAACATCTCTGTCCCTCTCCTCTGTCTCTAAACATCTATGTCCCTCCCCTCTGTCTCTAAACATCTATTCCCCTCTCTTCTGTCTCTAAACATCAATTTCCCTCTCCTCTGTCTCTTAACATCTTTGTCCCTCTCTTCTGTCTCTAAACATCTCTTCCCCTCTCTTCTGTCTCTAAACATCTCTGTCCCTCTCCTCTGCCTCTAAACATCTATGTCCCTCTCTTCTGTCTTTAAACATCACTTTCCCTCTCTTCTGTCTCTAAACATCCTCTGTATCTTAACATCCCTTTCCCTCTCCTCTGTATCTAAACATCCCTTTCCCTCTCCTCTGTCTCTAAACATTCCTTACCTTTTCTTCTGTCTCTAAACATCCCTCTCCTCTCTTCTGTTTCTAAACATCTCGGAGCCTCTCCTCTGTTTCTAAACATCCCTTTCCCTCTCATGTGTGTCTAAACATCCCTTTCCCTCTCCTCTGTATCTCAACATTCCTTTCCCTCTCCTCTGTCTCTAAACATCCCTTTCCCTCTCTTCTTTCTCTAAACATCCCTTTCCCTCTCTTCTGTCTCTAAACATCATTTTCCCTCTCCTC